TTTGATTGGTAGTTAGTGGAGCATCGATGAACATGTTTGATGAGTATTTGCTTGATGATGGAATTTGACTAAATGTCTGTTAGGGATTTATTGTATTGTTTATCATGATGAATTCCTTTTCATGCTAAGAATTCTTATTTATTGTTGTGATTAATTCCAATTAAAGATAATTTTAAAAACCCCAAACGGTCAGTATTGTCTGGATTCTTAAATTAACTTTTTTTTTATTTTTTCACAGTTTGTTCAATAAATATAAACTTTGAAAATATGATTAAGTATAGTTACTGTGTCAAGTTTAATGAAACAAATCCCTACTTTATGTGCCTGGAGTCCTAAAGAATCACATTGTAAATGGGAATGTTTCTCAACAGCAGTATTTGTATTTGTGGAGCAACGATACTGGTTAATTATCTAAAAAGAGAACAAATAAATGATTCTCATTGTGACCTTTATCATTATCGCAATCATACCACAAAATATTGTGATAAAATGTGACCACCTCTTGTGTTTGTTGCTTGTTTCACAATTGGTGACTGTATGATGTGTTTATGATGTAAAACAATTTGAACTTCCTTGTTGCTGAAATGCGCAATATAAATACGCTTGACTTATTGTATAAGACAATTGTATAAGACAAATGCATCATGTATGCTAGCAATCACAGCTAAATCAACTATTCCACATTTTCAATTAAAAACCATTAAAACACATAACCGTCCAGGGTTCAGAGCAGCACGACACACAGAAAATAGCAATGAGATAAACACACATCCGGATTCGCATGCTAACACACACATGCACAAACACACACAGAGTCATCAGACGGCGCTAGCCAGCAGGACACACCCTCCTCTCCTCCCTCCTCAGGGGACATGCCCGGCCGTCTCCACCCTCTCCAAAAGTCGGCACCGAAAACTCCCATGAGAGTTTGTGTGTGTGTGTGAAGAATTTGTGTGTAAGTGAGAGCAAAGGAAAGGTTGGGGTGGGGGGGGTGGCTGGTGACAGCAACCACACCTCCACCCACACACCTCTAAAGCCGGTCATTAGTGTCCCAAAGTGTCCACAGGCAGACCAAAAGAGAAAGGCCACGGCCCCCTGCTCCCCGTCCCTTCTTCTTTCCATCCACCAACCCCAACCCGCGGCCCCTAGCAACACCATGCAATTAGTGGCTCCCGCTCGCAGCTATTGGCTCCCTTTCTTTCCATACATTTATATTTACATGCGTCTTTGACTCTGTCATTGTCACCCAGTGTGTCTGAGTGAGCGGTGGTGTATTACAGACAAGGAAAAAAGAAAAATAAAACCTGGACACACCCAACATACCGAGCCGCCGAGCTTTATCTCTGCCTCTTTCTGACCCTCCCTTCTTTTCTAATTATCTCACATTATTCCCTCTGTCTAGCCATCATTCTTTCGCTCATTTGTGCTGCGACGGGCCCCCGGTGAAAGCAAAGCTGTAATTATGTTAACGTGCCCATGTGACTACTTCCTGTCTAGAAGATCCTCATATCCTGCTCCCGAGGGGAATCTTTAGTCGGCTAGAAAAAAAATTCTTTTGGCGCCCGCGTCAGGGAGGAAGTGTTTCCCATGCTGTGCTGTGTCAACAGTGAGATTTGAGGCATTTTGTTTGTCAAGTGAGAAGTCGCGATAAGACGAACAGCTAAGCAAGAGAGACGAGGCAGGAACTGGGTGACCTTTCTTCACAGAGAGAGGAAGGAGACAAGTTCTTAGTCTCATAGTGGCTTTGTTCCCATGACAAATGTAAGCAAAAATTTGTCGATTTTTTGTCAGTGGCGAAAAACACAAATTTACAATCCATGTGTTTCCATTAAATATGCCACTAATTTGCTGATGATGTTATTTTATTTCTAACAGATCTGAAATATTCAATACCGGCGGTGGAGGGGGTGATTCAGGAATTTGGGAGAATCTCAGGTTACAAAGTAAACAATACAAAGTCTTCTATTCTGCTATTAAATGGCGGCGAAAGGACTAATCCCACCAGGGAGATTAAGCACTTTAAAGTAGTGGAACATTTTGAATATTTAGGTGTTCAGATCTTCCCAGAATTACAACAGATAGTGAAATACAATTACGAGCACCTGAAAACAATAGCCACCTCATTTGACAACTGGACAACCTTGCCTCTGTCCATATTAGGAAGAGTTAATGTTCTGAAGATGAGTATACTTCCAAAGCTCTTATACCTCTTTCAGAGCATTCCCCTACCGCCTCCTCCTGAATTATTTAACTGGTTGAAAAAAAACATATTAGGCTTCATATGGAACAATGGAAGGTCCAGGATACGTCTTTCGTTGCTTTATTTACCATTTGACAGAGGGGGGTTAAAGTGCCCCAACTTTAAATTTTATTATTGGGCAACACAATTAAGGACTATTATGTTCTATTTTGCAGATAAAGGAAAACCTCATTGGGTAGAAATGGAATCCCATAATTTAAGTTTAGCTCTTCCATTGTTCATATATTCCGATACATCAAATAAACTACAGAAACACACTACGAATCCCATTCTGAAAAACATGATTAAAATTTGGCAGGAGGTTAAAAAATACCTTGAGGAGCCAGACGGGATATCCCAATTTAGCCCAATATGGGGTAATCAGCTATTTGCCCCAGGTAGGGCAGATGGAACCTTTCAGCTTTGGGCATTGCAAGGCTTAAAGAGTATTGGTGACCTTTACCCATCAAATTCGGATATATTTTCGTCATTCGGGGAGCTACAAACCAAATTCAGGCTAAACAAAAAGCATTATTTTAAGTTTCTTCAGATAAGAAGCTTTGTGAAAGCAAATAACAGTAATCTAAACAGGCCTCCCCTTACAACGCTCGAAAAATTAATGACCCGGGATAATTTAAGAAAGGGTATAATTTCAGACCATTATAAAGTGTTGCTCTCTTACTCAACAGAGAACTCAAATAAAAGGCTCATAAACTGGAATTTGGACCTATTATCAAATGTCAGTGAACAGGACTGGAAAAGGACCTGTATAAAAACCCACACAATGTCCATTAACAGTCGATTTAGAATTCTACAATTTAAATGGCTAATGCGTATCTATGTTACACCCGTACATTTAAATAAATACAATAACAACATTCCAGATCTGTGCATAAAGTGCAACTCTAAAGGGACGTTAATACACTGTATGTGGGAATGCAGACAAATTACTTTGTTTTGGACAGAGGTGAAAGTTATAATTGAAAAGATTATCTTAAAGCCGATTTTACTGGATCCTAAATTGTTCTTGCTGGCTCTATACCCTGAGAACCATCATTTTAGTAAAACAGAATGTACTTTTATAGATATAAGCTCACTGGCAGCAAAAAAATGTATAGCTTTGGCTTGGAAAAATGTCAACAGACCAAGTGCCACGCAATGGTTGAGAGAGATGGCATCCAATTTGCCGCTAGAAAGAATAACATATATTAAGAAATCCAAACAATATCTTTTGAGAGAATATGGGAGCCTTTCATTACTTTCATTAAGGATTTAGACCTGTCAGAGGGCCCATTTGAATTCGGACTTGTAGGAACCTGCGATGTGCTATGATGTATAGAAGTGTACACTTATATCTAACCAGTTAGAAATCGTCTGAACACCCCCGTTTTATGAGAAGTTTTTGTGTGTCTTTCTTCTTTTTTTTTCTGGTTGTCTTTTCTTTTTTCTCTGAAGATGTGGGAAATTAGAGTCATGTAAAAACTGTAAGGAGAACTTGTTCAAAATTCAATAAAATGTTTTTGGAAAAAAAATATGCCACTAAAATCATGTGAATAAGACTGCGATCGCAATAACTCATTAAAAAACACGCTGCACCATAATCCTGCTACTTCTACTTCCTGTTGTCTTCTTCAACAGTATTTCCATTACAGTTTTTTTAAATGCATCCATTTTGTTACAGGAGGAAAAAAACTACTTCATCCTATCACAATATCATTTGATCATTTATTTTTGGAAGTCTGGACAAGTGCAGTTACAGTAAATGGAAATGCAGCCAATTTTGTTTTTAAGGTGCTTTCACACCTGAAGGTCTGGGCTGATTGGCGACTAACAATGCAACACTTGCTACATTTTCAGCTGTGTCAAACAAACCAAACCCCTTGATGAAACGATTCACCTCCTCGGCAGTGGTAGCGCCGAGAAGAATCACTGAAGGAAGCGACATGGAAATATCTGAAGAAGAAACTAATCGCAACTTCCTTTTTCACAAAATATAAATAAAAACGGATTGGTGTCAGATTTTAGCTGCAAGAGGATTTCTTCTTGGTCATTGGTAAAAGACCGCAAGACCACTTAACTCACACGTGTTTTGGTTGCGTTTACCCAGAATGCACTATGGTCAACTTCCTGCTTTTGGAGCGGTCTCGGGTCCACATGGCATTTATATATGCATCCAAACCGCACCAGAGTTCATGTCAACTGAACAGAGATGGAGGTTTTTAGGCAAACTACAGTTCTAGACTCTACTTGCTAGTGGACAGCTGGTTTATTTAAGGGTAACAGCATTAGAGGATTGAACACATTTTAACACTTTTATGTATTTTAGGTAAATAAATTTTAAAAATATGCGGTTTTTCTTACAACTATGCACTGTTTTATTTTGGTTTACAAAATCAAATTCTAATAAAATACCTTGAAGTTTGTTTTTAGAACATGACAAAATCTGAAGAACTTGTGAATTCCTTTGCAAAGTATTCACTCTGATTCACTGCTCTGGTATTTTGGACCATTTGTTCTCCAATAACACATTATTTTACCAATCGAGCTTTTCGCCTTTAACTTCTGTCCCCAACTGATTGAAATCATTTTCCAGAACCCCGACATGCTGCCTCCCCCAAGCTGGAATATTTCCCACAGCTGCAGGACTGGTGTAAATACATCAAGCATCCATCATTGCGAGTTCTTGCTCCGTTAGCCTCTTGCTTAGAAACGGCTGCATACATTCCAACAGGAACCTTCGCACGATGTCCCGCCGCCTCACCTGTGGACGTAGTGGAGCTGGTGAACGGAGTCGATGGCCAGCACCATCTCAGCAAGGTAGAACTTGGCCATTTCTTCAGGCAGTCGGTCCTCAAACTTGCTCAGCAGGGTCAGCAGGTCGCCACCCACGTAGTAGTCCATGACCAGGTACTGGAGAAGAAGTAAACACATTAAGGATGCAAGAAAAACACACACACACACACACACACACACACACACAAAAAAGAGAACAGTAAACACATCTTTATCTAAACGGATGCTAAACTCGCACCTAAATAGTTTCATGTGTTTGGGTTCGCCTAAAAATAAACGGAAAGATGGGCCGCGGCGAATATCTTTAAAGCCTTAGGGAGTTGTCGAGCATTTGTTGTGAGAATGTGGGAAATGGAATGAGAAGCAGTTCTGGCATTTCAGCTCAGGGTCATGCAGGGTGGACTAACAGCCCGGCTAAAGGGAGAAGGAATGCCTGCAGCTACCAATTAAAGCGAGACAAAGTTCGTCTGACCAGCCACACATTTCTTTTTGTGTTCTCCATGAACTTATATAATCTGTTTATAACCAGGCTTCCCATTTTCCAGACTAGTTTTAATCCTGATCTTCACCACAGTGAGGAAACAAAGCACTGATCCCATCATGCGGAGGAGCTACTGAGCTCCAAAAACAACCTGAAGGGTGACATAGCAAAAGTGACGGACATGGGGTGGGCATTTATTTATTTCATTTGTCGTGATGCGTTCTTATCGTGGTGAGAATTTAGATTTATCTTTGATGTGACAAATTACACTTAACGATTGTTTAAAACCCTCCCAGCTGTGATTGGTTGTTTATAGTTCGCACTAGGAGAAGGCAGAGAAGCTTGATTTTTCACAGATGATCTGTCTCATACTAGCCTGACACAACATGGTGACACTTTCATCAAATATGTAAAAATAAACATTTTTATTAATGTTATGTACTGCAGCTTTAAATGCAGTTACCGTGCGCAGTTACATACTGTGTCTATCTCAGTTTCATGTCACAATCTTTTGTGACTGGTGTCCCAAAGAGGCGGTTTACAAATGCGAGTGTTTTTCAAGAGCAGCATTTGTGTTCGCGGGGCTTTGACTACTGTGCCTCTAACAAAGAAGCAACAATAGTTCTTATTGTCACTTTTATTGTTATCAGAACAATACTAAGAAAAATACTGTGATGCAACCTCGACAGTGATGTCGTTACTATGAACACAGACGCACACAAACAGAGCAGTTGCAGCATGACGATGCAATGTTTGTATGAACAATAGTCACAATGCAGGATGTGCGACATCAAAAAGCGTAAGCCGTTTATTTATACAAGCATCACCCACATTAAGCCCACTCCAGAGGAAGTGAACTGTTAATGAAACTGGATTTGTTTTCGTGTTTATTACATTAGTAATATCCCTATAATGGTGACATCAGAGTTGAATTTTTTATTTCTTTTGGTTATTGATTCTATGCACACTATCTGCTGAAAACATGTTTCTATGCGGCTCCCCAGGCTGCAGAGGAGGGAGGTTTCTGTGTTACCAGGTTGTTGTCGTCCTGGAAGGCGTAGTGCAGGGTGGTGATCCACTGGCTGTCTCCATTCACCAAAACGTCCCGCTCCTCTCGAAAGCACGCCGTCTGCACAAAGATTCAATGACGATTCAAAATCTTCTACGTTCCTGGACATGTGTGTGTGTGTGTGTGTGTGTGTGTGTGTGAGAGAGACTTTCTGCAAGCTGGAGGAATAAATCATGGCAAAAAAAAAAGTTTTTCCCTGCAGCAGTAAAGCGGTGATGAAGTTTTGATAGCTGACCTGCCGATATCGCAAATTTATCTGGAATGATCTCAGAGTCAAAAAACCTGGTCTGTACCTTTCATTATTCTCGTTATGCAACTTATTTCTCCGTATTTTGGAGGAACAGAAGAGGACCAATTAAAGAATTTTTTTGCCAAAAGATGTCTTCATATTTGTATTGTGCAAAATCAATAAATTACCATCAAAATAACTAGAAAAACACTTAAAGTTAATAGCCATATGTTGTAAATCTATATCACCTTCCTAAAATAACGGCTTGTGTTATTTTCTTGTCAAAAGATGATTTAGGTAGAAAAATACAAAATCATTTTGGCAACAAATAAAAAAAAAAAACAAACAACAACAAAAAAATAAACACTTAAATTAGGAAGGTAGTGATGTGTAAATTTAATATCTATAAATAGGGACTGAAGCTTTTGGGTCTCTTAATTTTGGTTAAAGTGAAAAAGAACCTACTAATATTTTAACTATAGATATGATAATAACTGAAGAGTTTTAGCCATTTCCTCTTGCAATATTTAAGTTTAACTTCCACACAGAATTAAATAAAAGTAACACAAACATGCTTTCTTATGTTTTTTTTTATTATGTAGGAAAGAATTTGTTTTTTCATTATTTTTGAAAAATAATGAAAAAAAGTTTATTTCGTTTTCCACTGAAAGAAACAAGATCCGTCCTCTTTTTGCTCAATTTTATATTTATTTTGATTAAAAATATTGCAAAAGAAAAAGGTGGTTCATAGAAACGTGTACGCTGTCTTTTAAACGCGACGTCACAGTTGTGGCTCTAAATCATTTGCCAGAGCATAAAAACATAGTATCTTTAGGTTGTAGAAGTTGCAGATTTATGCAGATCTTGTCTGTGGATCCGTCGTTGCGTTTCCTGTCTCTGGGTGCTTACGCGTATTTGCACGTACGTCTAAACACTGTGGAGCATTTTGTTGTTTTTTTTTTTCCTTTTGCTTTGCGACGTGTGAGCCGCTACGATCAGAAACTCAGCAGGCCGACAGAGATGTGAGGAGGGTGTCAGGAAGAAGATGATGAGAAAAACACGCATGGGCAGATCAGGCTGCGACATGTTCTGCAATCCATCAAGAAATGTTTGATTCGAAAGAAATTCCACGGAGAATGTGGTTTTTCCTGACAGGAGGCCCTTTCTTTCGTTTTTTTTTATTTTAATCTTCATCATTTTCCTTGAGCCACTTCCATGATCACTCCTGCAGACTGCTTTCGATAACCAGAACTAATACGATCGGTGCTAACCTCTGCTCGCTTGAGCATTTCCCACTTGTTGAGAATCTTCATAGCGAAGACCTTATCCGTGTTTCTCACTTTTACCACCGCGACCTGCAAGAAGGAAAAGAAAAAATGCATTTTTAGTTGACATTGTGAGAAAAATATCAAACTACATAAGCATTATATCTATGTATTGCATCTTATCCTGGGAAGAAACAGGAGATGAAACTGCAACAGTCTAAAGAAACAAAGCTCTCCCCATAAAGGCCATTAGTGTGTGAACTTAGCAACAACAACAACAACAAAAAGTCTTGCAGAGAATTATTTTAATAAGAGATAAATTCTGAGTTAGTCATGTGGGGAAAGAAAGAAGAGGAAATTTGAGATAAGGATTCAAAATAAATAAATTTAACTAAAGCCAGAAATATGAAAAGGAAACTGTGGGGAAAACTGCAGACAAGTAAGAAGTTTTAACTTTCTTTACAAGTAAATGATGGAGTTAGGAGGAAATCAACAAAATGTCACTAGTGTGTATGTTCTAGATCAATTTATAAAAATTACAGAGTGAAACACTAAGCTCAACTTCAGATTATGATGAGTCGTTTTATGTTAATCTGCTACCAGATTAAAATCCTTCCAGATCTGTGGCTTTTCCCTCTGCAGCCTAAATACTGGGATTTTCCCCAGTTGTAGCTTCTGCTCAAGATATTTCAACTCCATTTAATCACTTTTAATATTTACTTATCAAGTCATTGCATGAAAAAATACTTTAGAAATATCAATTTACAAATTTTGATATATATATAGAGTATATATATATATGTGTAAGTGTGTTTATTTACATATTTCAAACTTGAGACTGAAAGTGAGGTATATTATAAAAGGCAGAGTTTGTTTCTTAATTTTCTAAAAATTTAACGCAAAACTTTTAAAAAAAAAATCTGTTTCTGTACTTTAAATTCTTACTACTTAAATACCTCAAACTTGAGAACAAAGTAAATATAATACAAACGTTAATGTTTACTATTGCCTCAAGCTGAAATTGAGGCATTAATTTCTTTAATACTTCAAACATGAAACTTGAATCATTGAATTTGAACTTTTTTTCTTCTTTTTGTTTAGCAAAAAGAAACAATAATTTTTTATTTACTCGCATTTTCTCATATTTCTTTTGCTAGCTTAAGTAGCTAGCACAGAATTGCACAATTTTGTATTCAATTACACATTTATTTGTCACAATCAATTACTCAACTATTAAAATAATCATTTACACTGACTATTTCAATAATAATCAGAGTAAATGATTACACTGCACGAGAGAATCACTGCAGTGAAGCTCACCTAGGTTACCTCTCTGATTATGTGCGAGTGCGCTGGCTCCCCAGAGCCAGAGCACTCTGCAATAAAAGTTATTCCTGCTTAAATAATGACAAAAAAAAAATGGTTCTTGAACCGTTTCTCAGCCTCCGATAAGCAAAAGGACAAGGTTCGCACGGAGGGACGGTTTATCTCCTGACACTGATGAATTGGTTACTGCACAGTTCACCATCTGTTTGGCTCTGAGCTGCACAGTGATCGATGAAAAAGAAACATTTGCATGTCTAAAGCACATTTCTGTACAACTTTCACAGTTTAAAGCCTTCCTTTAAAAGAATGGAAACAGTCCTCTGTCAGACAGTTCGCTGCAGACTCAGTAATGACAGAGTCTGCAGCAAACTGCCTTCATTCTCTGCACAAGCTGCTAATAGAAGGAAACGCTTTGGAAGAAAGAGGTCAGGTAATAGGTGAATGATCAACTTGTTGTGCGTCTACTTGGACCAATGAACGCTAATCGATTCTCATAATATCAGGAATGTAGCAGGAACAAAACAAACAAAATTGTTTTATTTTCATCCACAGCTTCTGTAAACCAAAACACCACAAGAACAGCCTTAAAGGAACAGCGTCCAAATGTACTACTTGTTTCATTAATCAGGTTACGATGAATGTTTATGATGATGTTCGATATGTGCCGTTTTTATGGAAACCAAATTTGAAGTTTTATGAACCATACAGTTTTTATCTTACAAACCTCATTGCTTATAGCTGCCATCTACCCAAATGACAGACTAAAAGCAATACGTATCTTTATTGTTGAGCTCACATGCCTATTTATTCAACAAACAAGCAGAAATTTAAAATGTTTAAAATGTTTTTGATTCTGTCAATATATGGGTATAAATTGAAATGCGATTACTTGTGATTGATAAAGTCCAGACCGTGCAATTAACCTTATCAGAATTTTAATTTGAACCGAGTCCCACCACGATTAGTCACATTAGAAACGTTTACATACAGTGGCTTTCTGTAACACATGACTGGAGGAGGCAATAAAACCATCCATCTTAAAATAATCTGAGGAAAGTTTCAATGGATTGAAAAAAATGAAGGCCATCAAATCCTACTGAACCTTGGATTTAGCCACAGTATGTACATGGGAATCGTAATACGGGGGCATAAATTGATACTAAATGAAAGGGAAAGAAAATTACATTGAACTTGGACACTGACTTCCTGATCCAGACTCTGTACATACACATCGTTTCATTCCCATCAGTCAAACGGGTTGTGATGGACTTGAGAAGAACAGAGGACATCTTGAAGCTCCCCAACGTTTCCTTTTATAGCTGCTATTTCTCACCGATGCCTAAAGATCACGCTGCTACGACGACCCAACTCACCGTCCCGCATTAACAACTGCCAGTTTTCCCTGACTGCTAATTACTAAACATAGCCCTGGGAAAAAAAAAAAACTTCCTGGGCTCCAGCTTTACAGTTTTGCCAAAAAAGGAGCTGCACAAGCAGCAGCGACAAACCGCTGTGTGAGCAGACAGCCAAGGCACGAGTTCACACAAACTCAAGTTATTCCCATTGCTTTCAACGGACACCGTTTATGGGTTCAGGGTTTTTTTGGTATTCTTTACAAAAACAAGATTTATTAGAGTCCGAAACGCTGACGTAAAGATGGACTTGAAGAATTTTTTTTTTTAAATGTGAAAGACAGAAGTAAGAAGACGGGAAGCAAACAGAGCGGTGCTATGAAACGGAGGAGTCTGCATCCTATTAAATTAACCAGGGGAATGCTGCTAATGCAATACAATGATAACATTCCTGCAGTGTTTGGATTTCCCCCCAGTGATCTCTCACTAGAGAGGAGGAATGAGGGAGGACAGAAGGAAAGGAGTGATCTTGGCAGTGCCTCTCTGTTTTTGTTCTTTCCTCGACCCCTCTCTTTCCCCCGCCCCCTTCACCTCTACTCTGATCTTCATCTCGGTTCAAAACAAAAATCAGATCAGATTCAAGGGTGCAAATAAAAATTTCAAAGTGGGTGACTTGAAAGAACTCGATGCTTGAAAGAAGTACATTGCAAAAACAGTTTTTTTTTCTCTCAATATTGATAAAGCGATCTCACAGTCAGTGGGCCGGGACAAACCGCTCCATTCATCGGTGCAGATCCACTACGACACACACCTGGCACCGTCTCTCTTCCTGCTGCTGCCAATCAGAGGGTGACATCAAACTGTCCTGAGCACACTCTCCCCTCCTAAAAATGTTGTTTTTCCTCACAATTTGCCCTCGTCTTCCCCTCCCTACACTAATTTTTCTCTAAAAACACACACAAAAAAACAAAAAAAACCTCCAGTAATAATAGAAGACATCCAAAGCCATTTTTCACTGACGAATAAAAACGCAATTCCACACTATTGAGTTTGGTTCGTGTTGCCTAATGTGACTCCTGCAAAACATCCTTCACATGTCCAACTGCTGCTGGACGGCAACACATGAGTTTTACATAACATGTGTAAGTATGGGTTTGTATTTGCTTAAGTCAAATGAAGCCACTCTTACATTATTTCCTATACTGCCATGTATGCTGGCGTATTAAAAGCAGAGAGTTTAGTGGGTGTAATTATGAGGATATCGCAGAGAAAGAGTTACAACATCGCAAAAGTACGCGTGTTGCTATAACGGAGCAAATATGCCTATGAGCACTTCAGCATTTTGCTAACTTTGAAAACAGTTAGTGCACTTAGCTTCAAATAAATTCATTTTCTCGGACAAATCATAAGGCACCAACTTAGCTAGCTTTCAGTTCAATAGAGTTCAACATCTGTGTTTAAGTATCACACATCACCTGTTCTTCAAGTTGTTGGACATTTATAGTCATGCTTTAATCTTTGAAGTGGATGAAAAGTTTTTACACAGCAATTTCATTTAAGTTCCTCATGTTCTCCACCTGTGATGCGAGATGTCTAGAATACATCAGTGAACAGTTTCAAATCCACTAATGTCCTGTGTGCTTTCCATCTGAATCCCTTCAGTGGTCAATTAGCCAAAATCAGCTCCAGAGTTAGCAACACTCAACAATTATAAAATCAAAACCATGTGAGTGAAAGCTTTTATCACGTCAAGTGTAACAAATTTGAGCCCAATAAAACACGTCACGTCAATGACATGATGGGTGTCAACATGGTTGAACTTAGCGCTTTAGCATTAGCTTCCAATCAATACCATGGTGCCATAGCGCGTTATCATTAGCAGGACTAATGTTTATGGTTATCGCTTTAAGGTTAGTGTAACCAACCTTTTTGGCTGGCGGTGCCCACAGCTGTTCATTAAAACTCTAGAAGTGAGTCAGACTTGGCAAAAGACACGTTGGGAGTTAAAAGAAAAATAAAAACTTGAAAATTAGTAACATCGTCTCTAATCAGTGCATCTCTACTGAAAACACCTGCGAAACAGTCGCCTCTCTCCCACATACACGAACCAGAAGTTTATGTCCAAGCTCAAAAAACTTGGGGAATATTTTGTACATGACGGCGGTGGCGACCAGGAATTTGCTCCAATTTGTAAAGGAATGGATTAACTATTTTAAATACTGGCCACACAGCACATCTAATTAGAGCAATTCTGGTTCTGAACGACTCTAGTAAAAGACCTGACATCTTGAAAATGTCCTGTTTTAGCAGCTAAGGACTCCAATACTTGTCCTTTCAACATTCCTCTTCTTTGACATCATTACCTGAAACTCAATGACACAAACTTTTTTTTTTCCTCACCTCCCCAGAGGCATGGACATATAAAATGGATTTCAAAATCCCTTAAGTCACACTTCCTGCTTCCTAAGGTCGTCTAATTTAGAGTAAATTCAAAGATTAGGAGCAGAAAAAGGATTCTGGGAGCTCCGTTGGAGAAGCATGTAGAGTCATGCTCAGGTGGCAGACTAACGTTACACACTGCTGATGGAATGCAGCAGCAAGGAAATCACTGTCAAATGCAAAAACACTCCAGTCTTCTGCCATTTGAGCAAATAGCAATAAAGGAGGATCTCTTCTAGACACCTGCTGACCTGGGAAATCGTCAAAGCCGTAAGTTAAAACCGAGGACATTCCAAACACTTGCAGATTTTTCAAATGAAAAAACAAACCGCGTCATGGTGGTGATCGTCAGATCTGAGGCATGAAGATTGTTTCAATTCCCCTAACTGTCTTTAACGTAGATCAATCAAGCTTTCATTTCCGCTTTAGTAATAAGCCCCATGATTTTCTCAAAATCAGGGGGAAAAAAAGAACAAAATGGTGTGTTACCTCGCCGAATGCTCCTCTTCCAATAACCTTCAGGATCTCAAAGTCTTCCTTGTGCAGACGCATCTGCTTCACTTTGGAAGTGAAAGGTTTGGCTGGAGACACAAAGAAGAAGAGAATCTAATTAGTTGATTGTTTTCATTAGCATACAAAACAGAAGGCCGATCTTTATCTGGAGAGATGTACAGGAATTAGAAGAAAACTGCAAGAACAGACTTAAATAACAAAATAAGAACATTTTTTAATGTGCAGTAATAATTGCTCCCGTTACATGGAGTCAGCAGAATTTCCCAATATTTTAGTGGAAGCTGAAAGAATAATCGATTACGTAAATCAGGGGTGTCAAATTCCAGTCCTCAAGGGCCGGTGTCCTGCAACTTTTAGATGCGTCTCTGCTGCACCACCTGAATAGAATAATAGGTCATTAGCAAGGCTCTGGAGAACTTATCTACACAAGGAGGAGGAAATTAAGCCATTTCATTCCAGTGTTTTGTACTTGTGACACATCTAAAAATTGCAGGACAGCGGCCCTTGAGGACTGGAGTTCGACACTTGTGACGTAAATTCTCATTTAGTTGAGGCCCTAGTCTATAAAAGGAAGACCTGTAAAAACCTTAAACTCTGAAATAAGCCCTAGAACATCACAACAAACTTAGTTTCTCACACAGTGACTAAATTATTTATTATAGCACAGGAATGTTCAATTAAATAATCGATGATTAAACCTTTAGAAAAATCAGCTCAAAACACTTATTTACTATTCATTAACAGAGGTGATGGTGTGTTAACAAGTATCAGTAAAATCTGCAGTCCTCTGCATTGTGTATGAATAACACACGGGCAGCTTGTAACATTTAATCGTTTCCACACGAGGCCCAAAATAACCGGCTCATGGAACAATATAAAGGACAACACTCCCATATCTCGGGCTCCACGTCCTTCTAAATGGATTTTATCACAGTTAGTGACCACCTGGTCCTCTCTACAGTAAATGACACCGGACGCAGAGAGGCTGGATGATAACGTTTGCTATTGTTGTGCCCTCAGTTATGGTTCCTGACGGAAAAAAAAGGGATTAGGGAGGGATCTGCGAGGGCTGCCAACGTTCTCTCGCAAATGTTCGACAGATTTGATCTATGTTGACAGAGCCCGCATTTCCCTCATTTGTGGGGAACTATTCAGGCCACTTCCTGGTTTACATGCTCTCAGCACGCCAAGGACAACCTGGATTGGCTGCAAGTTCGCAGGGTCAGCATCCTTGGTGAACTGATACCACTTTCTTTTAATTTAATAACAACCCAACAACAAGAAGAGCTCGTTAGGTTTTTCAAACTTCTTATTCTTGTGGTTAGTAAAAGTCGGCATCTCCATCTCCGTTTACGGCTACTGTGAGAGGCGTTTCACCAGTCAAGCTAACGCTCTGCCCCGTCTATGATCCCACCGTGGCAAAACATTGTCTGGCTGCCTCGACTTCACACAACCTCCAACGCTGAACAAGAGGATGTTCTCCCACTGTGAAACAGGGAAATGCCTGCTGAAATAAAACAAACAGGTCACTCGTTGCTCAACAATCTCGCTCTCCCAGTTTTCCCCTCAAAGCCACAGCCGAGTCCGCTGACAGCCGGAGGCCGCAGGGTAGAGGGAGAGTTGCTTCTGGCGGAGCAAAGAAATGCCAACAACTCTGCCTTAGGAGGTAAGAAACACCTGAACTTGCAACCTGACCAACGTTGGAACACTGTGTGGCCAGGTGCTAAAGAACAACCATGGAGCACAAAAAGGTACGTGCAGGGTGCCTACACATTTTTCTTGTCAAATATCTGTACTTTTCCAGTATTTCCAAACTTTCCTGGCCCTTTTAACCTAATTTTAGACGATTCCAACCTAATCCTAGACAAAACAAGAACGAAAGAAGGAAGACCGGATGGATCGAAGGAGGGACGGATGGACAGATGAAACTAATAAGAGACAGATAACAGATGGACAAAAGTGTTGAAGGAAGAAAAGATGGATGAACAGACAGACAGACAAAAGCATAAATGGGTGAATGGATGAACAGACGAAAGCATTAACCCTCCGGCGGTCTACATAAATTGGGTCATTTGGGGCCCACAAGTTTTTTATTCTGTGCACAGTCCAGCAGGGTCACACTGCCTGACTGTGCACTTTTACGAGGGCTTTTTTTGTGTGTGTGTGCGTGTGTGTATAGTTTCAGGAACTGACGGTCTGACGGGACTGTCAGAGGGAGTAAAGATGAAAGGATGGACAGATTCATGTACAGACGGACTGATATTGTGGTCTATAATGTAAGGAACCTAAAATCTCAGAATACCACCAATAGTGGTATTCTGAGATCAACATATTTCATAACAATCTAATGAAATACTCTGATTGGACAAGTTTCCAATCTGATACTTCTCACAGAAACTGATTTTTCTGTAAATTTATATAGTAACAGCAGCTTGGTCTGCAATACACACTGGCACTGATTAAACTGTTGACTTCAAGGATGTATAAACTATGTTACCAAGTATGCTTTTACCAGATCTTGTCATCATAAATTGTGACAATAAATAGTTGGACATTTTCAAGTGAGACCCCAGGCCCCATCCTTTTACTGGTTTGGCTCTACGATCCTCCCCAGCTCTTGGCAAGAGAGTCTTGAATGCTCTCTGGGATACAGAACAATTTCCATCTATCTTTTTCTTGGCGATCACTAACTTGTCATTTCTATTTAGAGGGCTGCCTCTGTCAAACCACTGGGTAAGCCTCCTCTGTAGTTACACAAAGACCCACTGGTACCATTCACCCTAACATCAAGATCACACAATACCAGACTGTGGGTTTATTGAATTTTATAGCCATCATCCAAAGTGCAAAATCAGTACGTTACTATGAATGCCTTGATAAACTATTCACATCCTTTGAAAGTTCACACATTTTGTCACAATAAAACCAAAATGTGTTTTGGTTTGTGCATTATTAAGCCACTGTTCTATATCTTGCATAATATCTTCATTTATTGCAATAATTTGTGGGACAATTTATCACTGAGCTAAATTTGTTCCTCTCCAGCTCCTCCAGAGTTACTATGAGTCTCTTAGCCGCTTCTCTAAATGTTCTCCAAACACACTCTTTAGATGACTTCCGAAGGAAATTGTTAAATTTTGTTAAGGGGGAAATCAGAGAAAACTTTGTGTCCTGTTATTACCCCTTTACAGCGATGTACTACTTTGTGTTGATCCGACACATAAAATCCCAATAAAAAACCCCATTAAAGTTTGTGGTCGTAACATGACAAAATGTGGAAAAGTTCATGGCGCACAAATGTTTTTTCAAGGCGGTGTAATTGTCAATTACACAAGCTGAACTGAGATGTAGGCCATAGAGAGGGGGAAGGAGAGTGGCGCTCTGCGAGGGAGGAATTAGTGGCTGCACGCTGACTCAGGAGCTGCACTTAACGCAGCCACATGAGAAATGCCTTTCATCTCGGAGCCAGGAGCCTACAGGCCCCTTTCCACAACAAACTTTATGTGCAAACATAGACGCACACAAATATGTGCATGCAAAGTGAAGGGTCGTGGTGCTTACACCTGACGACTAGCTCCTGACTATATGCTCCTCAAAGTTTGCTTTTAACCGCTGGCATATGTGGAAATACCGAGCCAATATATCAATCAATGCAGTCAACACATATAATTCAGTCTGAAGCAACACTTTAGGATCAGTGTGTGCGCTTTGAAAGGACAAGCCGCATCCCTTTCAACAGCAGACGAAATGAAAAGTACACCAGTTTGGTCATACATCTTAGTTCATTAACAAAATATACACCTCACCTAAACACAGCAACCGTTGCTATGACAAGGTGCAGCAGGAACCAATGGTAACACTCGGGAAGCCCGACTATCCCAACTTTAGTATGACTGGTATTCTTTGTTTTCCGGGTTTTGCAACGCACGGCCCAAGTGACCCAAGACTGGAAAAAAGTCTGACATGTCATTCTGAAGGCATTGTGTGGGGTGGAGTGGGGGATAAGGTACAGATCTGCGCACAAATGGGAAGATTTACCACATGTCGGGTGCGACACGAGGTCAGGTGCTCTCAGCGGTCGGCGTTCGGATGCAGTGGAACTGGAAAAACACGAGCGACGCCACTTGCTCCACACGGCCAGACTGGTTTGGCCCAGAAGTATTGGAGCGCGGCTTATCGAAACCCTTCTCACTCCATTACCGGCAGTGGAGTCAAGAGACATTTAATGTGAAATTGAGCAACAGCAGGCGAGCGTGTTCACTCACCGGAACAGGCCTGGGCTTGGGTGTGTTCATGTGAAGTATGTGAACTTGTGTCTGTGCATTAGTCAAGCTGCTATTACATCTAATACGCAGCCATAGCTGGTGTGTGTGACTCAGTGCTGGGTGGAACAAGATTCTGTGTAAATAAAAGAAAAAAAGTCATAACCTTAAATAAATCTCTTGTTCTTGAGTAAGCGTTGCCACATGACATGGTCTGAATGTGTGCAAAAATAAATTAAGAGGGCATGCTTGTGTAAAAGGGACTGTTTGTGTGGGATTAAGTACAGACCGGAGACTGCATAAAGAGTGAACAGAACAACCCAACGCTTCTTTATTTGATGGAGTTTCTAAAAATGTCACAATATGTACTAACTCTAGCTCAGAAAGCTTTTCACTGTGGGGCAGGTTGGGTTTTGTAACTCATTTAGGTAGAAAAGGAGGTAATAACTCATTTCATTTTGCAATTTTGACATATATTGGATGATAGTGATAGCCTTTAAGCTAATGTTAAACTTTTTAGGTAATTTTGACTTTAAGGGAAAAGTTGAATTCCTAAATGGGATAAGATAACGTTACCCAAGATATTTGTGTAATTCATGATAGAATTTAAGCTAACATTAACTTTGCCAATTTGGACCTAAAAGCAATAGTTGACTTACTAAATAAGTTAAGGTAATGTTACTCAACATATGTCAACATGATGATAGGATTTAAGCTAACTCAAAAAATAGCTTATTGAATGGATTAAATTAATGTTAAGTTAATGTTGCCATCATGATGATGGTTGTCAAAAACATAACATTGCT